GGTTTAATAATTCAATCCAGCTATGATTGAAGGATTTAAGTAATATATGAAGCTTGTGCAAAACTTGTACAGTTACTGGTCCTTGTACATAGGACTTGCAAGAGCAGAGCCCTCTACCAACCCACACTGGGCATGTAGAGAAAACAAGAAGTAAACGTTTCCCTTTGGAAGCCACTAAGACTTGGGGGTTCTGGTGAACTGCTGCACAAGCTAGCTTATCCTCAGACACAATTCTGCACATTTAAAACCTAGTCTTGCCTAAAGCCACATGTATTTGTACCTCTATGTATACCTGCATCATTCATCTGTATTCATATACGTGTATACATGTATGTATTGCCTTTATAAATACATTTCAGATTTTCAAAATAAATATTGAACAAATGGCTCAAGAAACCATAACCTAGAAAAACAGATCCCAGCACACTGATATCTGCACCTTAATGCTCATCCTGTCTTAGCTCATGACTCACTAATCAGCTCGGCTCACTAAGTCCCTTCCCCAAACTTGAGCCCATCATCTGTCAGTTAAAGATCATTGTAATACCTTAGCCTTATAAAGTGCTTTTCTTCCAAGAAGATCAAAGCAAATGAAAGCTTCTTTTATTGAGCTCTCCTTATTACTCCAGTGACATGGTACATGTCAGGTAAATTATTCACATTTGATCAACCAAGAAAATGAGGTAGCAGACGGTGACAACCCTAACGAAAGGGTATATAAAGAGAGTGTTGGAACCATGTTCAAACCCATCTTCTCTCTCACCATGTTCTCTGCTGCCTCTATACCCTGCTACGAGAGAGATGGGATGGGCCTTCATCATTTTAAAATACGATTGAAAAATCTATGCTGTCCATTTTTTTTAAAGATTTTATTTATTTATTTGAGAGAGAGAATGAGCGACAGAGAGCACGAGAAGGAAGAGGGTCAGAGGGAGAAGCAAACTCCCTGCTGAGCAGGGAGCCCGATGTGGGACTCAATCCCGGGACTCCAGGATCATGACCTGAGCTGAAGGCAGTCGCTTAACCAACTGAGCCACCCAGGCGCCCCAATGCTGTCCATTTTTCAATTAAGTGTGTCATATAAAGGTTTACTGGTCATTTCACCCACTTCATGACAAAATGGATTTTACCTATAAAGTTTCACTTTAACAGCATCAGTGTAAATAACCTTCATTAATTAGAAACCCCTAAAGCAATAACTGAATGTCTCCAGTCAGAAACCAATGGAATTGAGTGCAAACTTCCCATATTCTTGTGTTTCTGTATGGTGCAACTCAAGCATCGGTTCCTCATGCCTTGTAAAATAGTAGCTTACCAGGTGTGAATACCCTGTGGCAGGGGAGCCCTACAGCACTTAGAATACACACTCCCCACACCTCGCCCACCACACCGCACCCCCATTCTTCACTAGCTTCCTGGGAGTTTGGAAAAGACCATCTGTACCAAGGGTGGACCCGAAGGTCAAAATAATAGTTCTTCTGCTTCTGAAACTCTGGTAAGTGTATGGTTATCTCTGTACACTCAAAAAAAAAAAAAAACACCATCACTTTCTAATGTCTTCTTCAGACTAACAAGAAGCAAGACTTGACCAGTATCTACAGGATGAACACCTAGAAAGGGACAGTGCAGTGACAGTGGAGAGATCTCGATAATGGGTCCGCCCATGAGAGAACAGGGGAAGATCTGGAGATATTTAAGAATCTCAACACGAGCAATAGTGGACCAAAGAGCTGCAAAATTCTAAGTGAAACCCATCAGGACAGCCATTACAACAGCTTTTCCGATCATGAAAATGAATTTCTAGGCCAATCTGTTGTCTTAGCTAGGAAAGAACAATACACAGACCCACAGCAGATGTCAGCACAAACAGCAGTCACCAGGCCTGAGGGATTTGTGGCACGCTGTAAGGGCCAGGGAGTTTTAAAACTGATACAAGGTGATGGTTTCTCATTGTTCCATAGGCCATGTTAGCCATTTTCTGCTGTGACCACAGAATCCCCTCTAGAAAAGGAAAGATCCAGAACTCATAGAAGCTGCTCCCTTTACTCTCTCTGCTGGTGGTCCTAGATGGGGCCACCCTGACTTTCCTCCCGCTTGGAGAATGAAAGATGCACTCTTTAATGACTCTCTGGACACATGAGCCATAACTTGCAAAATTTAGAAAGTGAGAGGGCAGGAATTAAATTTTTAAACATACGTGATAATGGAGAAGATCATCTTTTTAGAGCCTTTCCTTCATCTGTATTGACCTAGGGAGGCACAGGAATTTGACAGGCCCCATTGCAGGACGATGGGGCCCTTGGCTATGGTCTTTATATTACTGAGGCAAGATAATTTTAACATTTGCAGAGAGGTCCAGTCTTGCAATGGTTTAATAATTCAATCCAGCTATGATTGAAGGATTTAAGTAATATATGAAGCTTGTGCAAAACTTGTACAGTTACTGGTCCTTGTACATAGGACAATGGTGTGGTCAGTGGCACAGTGCAATATTAAGCATGTGTTGGTAGGATAAAGAGGCTCAATTGTAACTGCTTGTGGGTTGGGTGTTCTTAGTTAAGACTGACAGATTTCCAAGACCACATGGTTCCCAGATGATTCACATGCTGTGATTCAATTTTTAAACTCCAAACCAGTTCTACTGTATCCGCTCGCCTTAACCTGTCAAGGTTGACAGTGAGAATGCTTTCATTTAATAAAAGATATGACAGCCCTTTGTACATCAAAAGACATAATTCTGATGTGCAAATGGCCTGTGAAACAAGTTACAAAATAAAGAGCGTATTTTTAGCTTGACCTTCCTAAAACATGTGTTTCATCTCTATGAACTACTGGATTTGGTAAAATATTATTTTTAAAAGTAGCAACGAGTTGTCTTCTAAATATACTCAATAATGACAAAATAAAATCAGTTTCTCAGAGGGGCCTTACATTAATTTGTTTCATATGTAACATGCGGTTATGGGATCATTAATGTTTCACTGTTAGACCCTGGAGTCAGAGGATATAAAAGTATAAAAAGCCTTCAAATAATCTACAAAGTAGAAATAGACTCCCAGTATTTGATAAAGGAATTCTCTGCAAAACAGGCAGATGCCTTTGAGAACCAAAAGTTAAGATATGAAAAAATATATATATAATATATATACTGTATTATATAGTGTATATTATATGTAAAATATATATTCTACATATTCTAAGACATATATACATATATATACAATATATAGTATATATACTATAATATATATAGTATACTATATATTATATAGCATACATATTTTATATATATATATATATATATATTAGCTTTTCCTAGCAGTCCACTTTGCAAAGGCAATTGTTGAGTTAGCCCCAGGCTATGGACTTCTCAGACACCAGGCTACAGTGCTTTATGCAATAACGATCTTTGAGGCTTTTCTACAAGTGATACACTGTCCAACAGTTGACCTACCAGATCATGCCTTGGTTGAAGATCAGAGCGAGGACATTGCCGCTGATATCAAATTCAGTGTATGAGGGCTATGGAAGACACAGATATTCACTGGATTAGCATATCAACTGGTGAAAATTGAAAGCCAAGTGTTTCATCTTTCTGCCTAGGTATGGCTAGGCTCTCAACTGCTTCCTTGCAGCAACAATAGCAGAGTAATCGATATAATAAATAATTAGCGGTAAATAAAACAATAAAGCATGCTTTCTAACATAGCAAGGCTCATTTTCTAAAGCAGTCATTCAATGTTGTGAAAATGTGGACCAGCAGGCTCTCTTTACATGGCTGGGGAAAGAGAAAATTGGAGCAATGTTTTAGAAAACTTTGACCGTATAGATTAAAAGCTTAAAAAAAAAATCTCATTCTCTTTAACCCTGTAAGTCTACCTCTAGGAATTTGTTTTAACAAATTGATCTTAAATGTTGACAAATTTTAAGAGATGAAACCACCAAAATGTCCAATATTGGTTAAGTAAACATAGTATATCCATACTGTAATATATATTGCACCTAATTACAATCACTGTTTGGAGAATATTTACATACACAGAGAAAACTATGACTTGATGTTAAACAACAAAAATATAAAGTTAGACAGTCATTATTTTTATCTATGGAATATGAGATGACGCATAAGGAAAAGACTTGAAAATGACCAACAAAATTAATAGGTACTATAAGTAGGCGATGGCATATGACTTTTGTTTTCTTCCTTACATTTGCATATTTTAAAATATTTTTCAAAAAAATGTGAATTTCTTTTACAATAAAATAAATATAGAGAAATACAGTACAAGTTTGAGAAGTTATCCAACTCAATATCCAGTGTTTATCTCCTAGGTAATACCATCCCGCTTAGGGCAACAACACGAGCCTGTCTTTTTTGGGCAGAGGGGCACCGGTGGGCATCTGTCCCAGGGTGGCCTGTCCAAAGGCTTCCTTGTGACACATCGGGCAGCCTGGAAGGAAAGTTTCTATCAGTGGGAGTAATGCTACTTAGCAACCACAACGGAACTGGCTCCTGTTTAAATTGAGATAGAGAACAATCAGTCAGGAAACTGACTAACTGGTAGGTCACAAGAGAAAAGGAGAAAAGCAAAATATGTGGACGAAGAGCATCAAGACCACGAAAGAGAGACCCATAAATGAGGGGCAGGTCCCTCATCCCATCCCAGATCCTGGCATCTGCAGGTGTGGCTTCACACCGTATGGGTCCTTGTAATTACTCCCTCCTCAACACACCTACACAAACACAATGAGGCTGATCTGAGAGTGTCACTGTTCTCAAACCCAAGACCCCTCCCCTCCCCCCAAAAAATATGTGTAAGAAGATGGAACAGTTCTCTGGTTTGGAACCCCGATAAAACCTTCACAGCTTTTGGACTCTTTGCCTCAAGAGTTCTTGAAGTCAAGCCTCAATGTCATCATTTTCCCAAAAGATAGCAGTACTCTGGGGAAGGATAAGGGTCATGTGCCCTGTGACAGATTCAGGGCATGAGCAGCAAGAATGGTTCAATAACAAGATAAAATGATGAGATGATACATAATGAAAGAATACATAGCCCTGTTACATTAAGCAGGACAAAGATGACCTAGATGATATACGTTGTGTTTTGCTGGTTTTCCAATGATCTAGAAGCCTAACATTCACAGGATGCGAAGAGGTACAGTTGGCAGTTTTTGTTCTAAAATCACCAACGAAAGCAATGTGTGCCTCGTGGAGAAAAATAAACTGCTTCTAATCTCTAGAAACGTTAATTCGGAGTCTTTCTCCCGCCACAGGAGGGCTTTGCTGTGGACCACCTCTTCTCTTCCCCTGCAGCCTTGTGAGCTCACAGAACACATATGACAAATGCTCAGCTGGGTGGCCTGGACCATCTGTGGTCTTGGAACAGCTTTTCTCTGTGTCAGATCAAGAGTCAAACCTTCATCTTTGGCCTCTTTAGAATGGTGCCATGATTTAACCCACCAATCTATGTGAAATTAAAAAAAAATTCAACCTTTTAGAAGTATATTTTCTTTACCCTCACAAACATATAAGCTTCTTAAAAGCCATTTGAGATATTTTTATAACTAGGTGACTAGAAAAACACCAAAGACACACTGGGAACCCTTGTTCTCATATTGTGTTTGCAGCAGGGGCAGCCGAAGGAAAATAATTTTTTAAAAAGATTTTATTTATTTATTTGAGAAAGAGCACACATGAGCACAAGTGGGGGGAGGCAGAGGGAGAGAGGGAGAGGAAGAAGCCGACTCCCCACTGAGCAGGGAGCCCGATGCAGGACTCAATCCCAGGACCCCGGGATTATACCCTGAGCTGAAGGCAAACGCTCAACCGACTGAGTCACCCAGGCGCCCCAGGAATATAATTTTTGATCCACAAATGGACCCAATGCAGAAAATGGGTATAGGGTATCCCTAGTGTACCAAACAGGTTTTTGGTCCAGACACTTGTCAGGGATTCACACCTGAGTATTGGACTTTGCCTTGCCATGTTCTGGTTGGGTGAGCTGGGCCAGTTGCTTATCTTGTCACAGATAAACTGAGGAAATGAACTAGGTCAGTGGTTGTCACACTATGGCCCATGAGCCAAATCTGGACTGCCACCTGTTTTTATAAATAAAGATTTGTTAGAATACAGCTGCATTCATTTGTTTAGGTATTCTCTGTGGCTGTTTGGCACTAAGACAGGAAAGTTTAATGGTTGGCACAGAGACCATATTGCCCGCTGAACGCAAACCCCTTGTTCTCTACACTCTACTCACAGTACTTCTGACCCAGATGTACTGACTCCCCATACCAAACAATGCCCCAGTTCTCTGCGGACCTAAGCTGGATGCCCTACCATTTCCCTCAGCTCTGATACTGACTGTCCAGAGTTAGAGCAGACCCCACAGGTTAAGAACTCAGTCCTACAAGACTGCCCCACTTCAGACACCAACCACAAGTTTGGGGTGCCACCTATGCTGAGTGACTGGCTATACATCAGAGAATCCTACGACTCCCTCTTCAGGTTTGATAATTTGCTAGAAAAGCTCACAGAACTCTCGAAAACACTTGATTTACTAGGCTACTGGTTTATTTTAAAAATGCAGGATAGGAATAGACAGATGCAAGAGATACAGAGGGCAAGGTATGAGGAAAAGGGTCCTTTTCCATGTCCTCTCCCAGCACACCACCCTCCAGCACCTCAACATGTTCAGCGACCTGGTTCAGTGAACCCCATAGGTCAGGGAGTCTTATGGAGACTTCATCAGTAAGCATAATCAATAATTAACTCAGTCTCCAGCCCCGCTCCCCTCCCTGGAGGATGGGGGGATGGGGCTGAAAGTTTCAAGCTTCTAATCATGTCTTGCTCTTTCTGGTGACCATTCCCCCATCCTGAAGTGATTCAGAAGCCACCAAGCACTGCCTCATTAGAATAAGCAATGTTCCTATCACCCAGGAAAACCCAAGGAATGTAGGCCTTCTGTATCAGGAACCAGGGTCAAAGACCAAATATTAGAACAAAAGATGATCCTAGCACCTGTATTGCTTAGACAGTTATAAAAAGATTTAGGAACTCTGGCCAGGAGCTGGTAATGGAGACCAAAATATATATTTCTTATTATATCATAATATCCCACCTGCAGAAGTGCAACTACTTACTATCCAGCCTTTTACAGAGAAAGTCTGCCAACTTCTGAACTAGATCATTTCTAAGATCCTTTTCTAATCTAAAATCTGTAATTGGTTGAAAAATTAGACCCAGTTATTAAAGAATTGCTTCTCTGTAAACACTTTAGAAATGCAATTGAATACGGTATGAGTTAAACTCAGAAAATCTCCCTCTAAAAATAAAACAGAAGTAGGAAAGCAAACACACACACACACACACAATAAAATTCAATGCTCATTCTTTTAGAGATGGATTTAGTAAAAACATATGAGACTATATTGTATTTTAAAGTTTTAAAAGCAATACTTTAATAATACAAGGGTAAATCTTTTTGCAATACATTTGCTTAATTGCCTCTAAAACATAAAAAAAGCTTAAAGGTAAATGAGCCTTGGGAAAAAAATAGGTTTTCTTGAAAACTGAGAAATGAAATGATTCAAATGGGATGCATATAACACTAAGAGTCACTCATCCCTAATAAGCTTTTTAGGCACCAGCAAAAGAAGATCCCATTTGGATACAGGCTGAGGTCTATAATAACTTACTAATAGTCAAGGGATTGAAAATTATCTCGTTTTATTTCTGGACCTTTGTTTGTGGTGGGTGAAAGTCAGTCATCTACCCATAGGGAAGACAGAAGGTTGTCGTTGGACTGAAATGCCCAGGAAAACCCATCCGCTCTCTGCAAGTTTTGTTATTTGGGAAAGATCATTAACCTTTGGATATTGTGAAATATCTCAGAGAGAATTCTGTCATTGCAACATCCTGTCTGACGTACAAATCTCGCTCCCCACACCTGAAATCACTCTGGGTGAATGGTTCTCAAGCATGGTCCCCATACCAGAAGCCGCATCATCACCTGGGAACTTAGAAAAGTAAATTATCTGGGACCTGCCCCAGCTCCAATGGAATCAGAAACACTGTTTTCACATGCCTTCAGGGGATTCTGGTCTACCCTCAAATTTGAGAACCACTGATCTAGGACAAATCCTAGCTTCATCCACTAGGATGATTCAGCGACTCGGGTCTTTGCACTTCACCCCTTGTTGCCTGCAGACAGACTCCAACAAATATTCAAGTGGAACTTCAAATCCAGACTGTGCTGTCCCTTTCCCCAAGTTGTCAATCCTTCAGGGACTACTCAAGACTTCTTACTGACCCTTTAGCTTGGCATCTTCCTGCACTGCTAAGTAATACCTTATTCGCAGCTGGAGAACATCGTTTATTTCTAATTCTGTATCACAGCCCCTCCTGTAACTCCGTTCTATTGCAAGCGACCTATCTAATTTTGGGGTGCTTTGAGTTACAAACACCATAGATTGGCTCATGAATTAGTCATGATTTGACAGAGTTCTTGAAATTTCTAGGGTTA